TGATCTTGCCCCTTCAGACTTCTTTTTGTCCTCCAAACTCAAAGAATATTGAAGAGGAACACAATCTGAGTCCCACGGGTATGCAAAAATGGCCGTTTTGAGCTTGTACAAATAAAACAGCATAGAATTATTTGGGGAAAGGTTAAAGAGATGGAAACATCAGAACATCACTTTTAGAAGTGTATAAGCCTAGTTGAGGGATATGTAGAAGAACAATTGTGTCACATTTGGATATTTTTGTTTAACAAAAATTTCTATGATTTTTATACCAAGACTTTTTACTTTCTCTGGTATATTTCATAAAAAAACATTTTGAAAAAACACACAAAATAAATAAATAAAATTTTCAAATTAAATTATATTTCATTTATAGCATAAATTGCTCTATAATTTATTTATATTGTACCATTGGAACAAAGAAGTCCTGTTTTTAAGGTCAACTACTATACTACATTTAGTGTCTTAATTCCATCCTTTACCATTTCTTCTGTACTTTTTCAGTTAATTATTTTCTCATTGGATCCTTGACTTAACATTCTTTAAGAAAAAAGGGGATGGGGGATCTTTCTCAATTCACTCTTCACTTAAGACTAAATTTCATAATATCACCCCTAAACTTTTTGGATTTTTTTTTAAGTTTTTATCATGAATTATGTGGGTCTACATGGGAGAACATTAGCTTCACATTCACCCTATCGTGTTTCGTTTCATGGCAATGATTATAATCCCCTGCATGCATCATCAAATAACCAAAGGATACACCCACAGGCCCACCCCCCTGGCTGTCAGCACACGAACCCTCTCCCTCCCTGAGACCCATGTCCCCAGCCACTCTATCTGTCCACATCATCATCTCTATTCCATGCCTGGCTTCACTGCATCTCTGGGTAGAGTTACACTCTCCGTTCTTCTCACTTGATGGTCCCAGGGACCTCTGTTCCTGGGCTGCAAAATCAATCACTCCCCTCCTTTCATGAAAAACATCTACCTCTATGTTTCCGATCCGATCCTCACAGTCAGTCCTAATGGCAATTATTCACTATTGTACCACAAGAGTCTTGTCCCCATTTCCTTTTGCCAGCCCAGTCCCAAAAGATTGGAAATCATTCAGTGGAGGTTCTACATACCC